TCACGCACTCGCATGTATAAATCGTGTTTTGAAGTTTGCTCTTTTATCTTTTGTGCAGGCCCGCACAGATGGGCTTGCCTCCCTGGGGAAATCCCCTTTGTGTATGCACACACGAACTTTCTATTGAAATATCATTAGCAATTTAGCCTGGTTTTAAGTGCAGCAGGCCTCCAGTCCGCTTTAAAGTCTAATGGAATGTTAATTACTTTTTGTTTGCTGGTGAAATCAAACGTGGTGTGACTTTCGAGGTGTTAAGTGTGATATTGCAATGTATTCATCAAATTACTGTATTACTTGTCAGATCTGGTCAGATCAAGTTAATCATTAAATTACTATTTGTCCGTACATTGTGTTATAAAGCGTTTATTAAATTACTTTTTAGGGGGCTGTGTGGTCTCGAGGCATGGCGTCCGCCTCGAGTGCTAGAGGTTCCGTCTTCAGTCTCCGCTTGGGGCTGGGATTTTCATGTCGACTTCTAGTAATTCCTTGGTTGTGAGACCAGACGCCCGTGTGCATTGTTGCACGTAAAAAAAAAATCAATGCCAGTTGGAAATATAAAAGAGTAGCCTAACGGCGCTGCCCCAACACAATTTGGAGTTAAAAATCTACCTAAAGTAATTCAGGATCCTCGCCGGTGCTACAGAGCCTGTGCGCTGCGCTGAGCTTCTTCGGACTTAGACTGCAGTTAGAAGAAGAACGGAGCACTTATGATATACTAACCGTGTGACTTGATGTTGATCCATTATTCAAACCTGAAATTACTTTACTACTAGTTGAACTAATTAGTATTCTGATTTGCCGAATAAAATACTTTACTAAATTCCGTGAATTGTTATGTTTATTAAATTACTTTCCTACACGTCAGTACAGTGGAACCTCGCTTAACGAGCATAATTCGTTCCAGAATCATACTCGTAAAGGAAAACACTTGTTATGTGAAACAATTTTCTCATATAAGTTAATGTAAAATACGATAATGCATTCCATGTAAAAAAAAAAAAAATACTCATAAAATATTATGTATAACGTTATAAACATATTGTTAAGGAGAGTGAATAAGCTTCATCTTTTCTTCCACTGCGGAACGAACCCACCTGGAATGCAAATTCTATTTCCGCGTGTGACCATAGTGGTCTTATAGTTGTCTTTCTGCAATAAAAACGATTTAGTCATATCGTGGACATGTGTGTAAAATGTCATGTGGAACCTCAAAGCGGGTCTATTCGTCAGTTGTTAGTGGCTGATCAGGTTGTATCGGTTTGGGTTGGCAGCTAGGCTCCGGTGTACGTAAATACCATATACCCACTCTTTGAGATCCAAATGTTCGGTGATGAGAATTTATGTGGCATGTTGGGTATCGAATTCAAGTGCTCTCTGTGGAAATGGGGTGGGGAATTGAACTCATAGTGCATCCGAAAGAGGAAGGGAAGGGTGAGGGGAAAGGGCACGGGAGGTCATTCAGTCATTTCTCGTCGTTGCCGTGTTGTTGGATTCTAGCGTGGCCTTTAACTGGGATTATACATATCACGTCACCAACCTTTGCTATCAGCCTACTGATGGGGTGGTATTGGTGGTTAAGTTTTCTAGACCTGTCAGTATCAATTCACTTGTTTTCCCTATTTGCTGTCAGTCATATCTTGTTGTGAGCCCCACCGGTCATGTCTATGTTGTATGCATGATGTGGAAAAGGCTGGTTTTGAGTATGAATCCCCTGAGTATATGGACGCACACAACTAAGTGTATGCGTAACTGCACTCGAGCATTCATACACGCAGACAACACTACATGTTTGCACTTTCTTTCATACTTATCCGTGTATACATACCTATTTGATATTCCGTACACATGCATTCTCTTTCACATGTGTCTACCAATGCCTACATAAATGCACTTACATTCATGAAAAACATTTACATCCACACGTAAGGACATTCACACTTCCATGTCTTGCATGTTATTTTTGTGTCGCTATGCCTGTAATATCGTCTGGTGGTGTCACTTTTTAAGTTATATCCCGCTCCTGGTATGTGACCTGTCCGTTACGTTCTAATCATCTGGTGAATGGTGTGTGTTAATCAGGTTCTGCTGGCGTACACACTTCATTCCATTTATTCTCATTAACAGGTTCGTGCGATTTTATACGTATGTATGCACTCGTTCACCGTATAGTCCCATGCAACCACATAATTAATTGGTTCCTGGAGTGCACGGTCAGTCAAACACACACACATATAAATATACACGCTCACACACACACATATATATATATATAAACATGTACACAATTATACATACATACACATAAACATCTATATTTCCATGTAATCATTTATCTGTACCCTTCACACACCTATATTCCAAATTTCCTGTCCATATGTGACCCCTTACGAACATATTTTCATATGTTTCCA